CCTCCGCTCTTTATATCAATTTGAATTTAGGAAGAAGTAATACTGTTGTCGACGGAGCAAGGCTGAGCTTATCGCATTTAATAAAAGCCGTGATGGTTACGCTTCACTGGAAAAAGAAATGGTCGTTTAAGCATCTTTTGGGAAGGAAACGAAATTTTATGCTAGACATAACTGAGAAGAAAGGTTTTATTGATGAGACAGGATTGAAAGCTATCGTGGTAGCAATCGTGATTGGGTGAACCGTGAATGCGCCGTGCTGATTCGCCGTAAAAAAGGAAATGCTGAAAACAGTTGTGTTTATGTAATAAAATCCACATGACGAGAGGTTATTTTAAGCGAGTCCGTGGCAAGATAAATGCAATTGAACTCTTCTCGTTCCTTCTCTTCTCCTCACCATCCTCCTCCTCCTCCTCGTCATCATCATCACCATCATCAATTATAATTAAATTGCAGCTACATGAATGGGAAGACAAGAAGAGGGGAGGAACGGCGAAGGCTAAGGGCAGAGTGCAGGAAGGTAGAAGAAAAAGAAAATGGATTAAGCATTTATTCTGTAATGGGGAGTAATGAATCAGGATTTGACTTTTGTGTATCCGCATGTGTGTGCATGTTACAGGAAGTTGGATGATTCAGTCAATCCTTTGAATGAATCACTACACAACGATCTTTGCCCGTGGGTTGGTTGGTTGGTTCGGAGTAGGTATGGTCCAATATTCCCTCCCTCACCGCCCCGCCGCCCAGCCGCTCTGTCCCATAATTCGCGTATTTGCAAGCCATTTGGCGAGGCGTCGCGTTTGTGGTTGGCGATGGTAATTATTGCCCCAAAGGCATTCCGCTACCACGGATCAGCGAAGTCCACATTTTTCACCGTCCTGCCAACCATCAATAGTTCTACTTAAGGCGATTTAACTGTGCAAGGGGATCTACGTTGCTTCCTTTCCCATTCATCTTTGCTGTGCGCTATAGTAGATAGTTTTTTATGTCTTGGTGACTCACTTTGTTTCATAATCCCTAAGTTGTTTCCAACGGTTAAGTTTATTTGTCTAGCAGACAAATTTGGGATTATGAACCAATTTGTCAATGAAGCTTCAAATATCACATCGACAAGTTCTTATTCCAAAGGCTTCCTCACGATGGGCACAGTACTCAATTGGCCTTGTAAAACGCCTTTATCAAGTTAAGGTGGAGAAAGTAGAAATGAAACTAGTTTACTAACATTGATGAAGGACTAAAAAGAGTTTCGCATATACACTTTAATAGGCCTGCTTATAGACATCCTAGTAATTATCAACCTAAAATTGATGGGTGATTTCTCAGTAGCAGGTTTAGGCGTCTGATAAAATCTCTTGAATTGTAGCTCTTCAGGACTTCCTTAAAGGTGAAAAGGGACACACTGGCAGAACATAGTAAGTGTATTCGGTGTAGAAAAGGGTCGGACCATCCAGTGGAGGAGAGCTCTCCACTGCTCTCTCACCTAACCGAGAACCAGATGGACGGTCAAAGTATTGCCAAATCTTCATTCTACATGGGAACACTTGTAGATAATGCTTCCTCAGTGGGAATAGATGGTTTGGATGGACATTGATGGGACTAAGAAGCCTTTTTAGAATAAGAAAAAGAAAGGGAATCGCCTTACAAACAATCAAGGTGGGACGTGTTTTGACTACTTTTCTTCATGATGCTGCACCCCTTTTTCCTTGCGCTTTTTGGTTATATTCATATCTCTACTTCCAAGTCGACGCTAATGCATTAACACCTTGAGATAGACATCTGGTCTGCCCCTCTGCATC